TCAGCAGTTACGGTGGGGATTAAGCTTCTATTTATGAACTTTGGGGGACACAATGCAATCAGTCCACAGCACCTCCCAACAGTGCTTTAGCTGTGTCCCACAAAGTTTGATACATTGTATTTTCATTTTCATTGAGTTCTATGTATTTTTATTTCCTTTGAGACTTTCTCTTTGACTCGGGTTATTTGGAAGTGAGTTGCTTTATTTACATGTGTTTAGAGATTTTCCTGTTGCCTTTCTCTTATTGATTTCTGCTTTGATTCCATTATGCCTACGGAACATACTCTGCATGATTTCAATTCTCTTAAATGTATTGAAGTTGTTTTNCCCCCCTCCCCCCCCGGGCGCCGCCCCGCCCGCGGCCCCCGCCTCGAAGTCGTCCAGGCGCCGCAGCAGGTCGTGGCGCCGCAGGGAGCCGAGCAGCTCGCGCAGTAGCTCGGTGCGCTCGGGCTCCAGGTCGTTCTGCTCCAGCAGCAAAGAGAAGAGGTCGAGGCCGCTCTGCACGCGCTCCAGCTTCCGCTTGCCCACGCGCTTGTGGCACAGGAATTTGAGCTCGGTCAGCTCGCTGCTCGACAGGGCGGCCGACACCGAGTGCAGCAGCACCAGGAACGGGTCCATGGCGACCAGAGGTTCCACCAGCCGGCGCCCTGGAACCGGAACAGGAACCGGAAATCGCGGCGACGGGGGTCCTCTCGCCCGACGTCTCGCGAGAGCTACAGGACTCGCGCATGCGCCCCGAGCGCGCCGTTTCCGTTTCCGCCCGGCGGAGCTGCGAGCCAGCCCTGGCACCTACGGATTCCTTTATCACTTTAAATCCCATATATTGGCAGTAAATGCTATTTATATATTAACGTTTACAAACATCTCCAAATGCATTATTTAGTGCCACGGGGGACATTTCATGTGTGCAGAAAACTACTCAGTTTTATATTTAATTTAAATAATATTTTAAAGAGTTACAGTCACTTACTTAAAAAACATTTATTGGGCACCTACTGTGTGCCAGGCGGGTAGGTGCTGGGCACAGGGCAGAGAGGTGACACCGACTGAGTTACTTAAAAATTTTTTTTTTTTTAAATTGAGATATAATTCACGTGCCATACAGTTTACCCTTTTATTTTTACCCTTTTAAAGTGTACAACTCAGTGGTTTTTTTAGTATGGTCACAAGGCTGTGCAACCCTCACCAGTATCCGATTCTAGAACATCTTCTTTATCCTGAGAATAAACCTAGTACTCGTCAGCAGTCACTCCTCAGCCTCCTCCACCAGCTCCTGGCAATCACCAATTTATTTTCTGTCTCTAAGCATATGCCTATTCTGGACACTTCATATAAATGGAACCATAAAATACGTGGCCTTTTGTGTCTGGTTTCATTTACTTAGCACAGTGTTTTCACAGTTCATCAGTGGTGTAAC